CCAGTAAAACAGTCGACCAATCCATCGCTCGACCAAACAAACGATCGATCAATCTTATCGACCTCAGCAGGTCGAGCATCTCGTGGACTGAACACTCAACAGATCGGCTTAAGTCACAGGCGCGTGTAAGAGCCTCCAACCGAATTACAGGAGAATATTTACCCCATGTGCAGAAGGACACGTGTCGAGAATGTATTGGGTGATAGCGATAACCACCTCTGACAGCTCCCAACGCCCCGCGCCACCTCTGACATGTGCGCGGCGTGTCAGAGTACGGACGGGCAACTTGGGCAGCCAACTCATCCTTATCCGGGCAGCTATTAGGGCAGGTCTCTCACCCCTATATAAAGGGGGTACGCCTTTCTCCCTTAACACGATTTTCCTATTATTCACTTCAGTATACTCATACACATACTGACTTAAGCATCAGAGGCTCTTCACCAGATACAAACCCCTGGTGTGAGAGTTGTTTGCAGGTTTCCGGCATTCTACCGGCAAGGATAATAACCGATCTACTCTAAACCGGGCCAGGACGCTCACACTTGCATTAACGTGTGACTTCAAGATGCTCTTGGGGCCTTCTCTCCGACACGATTTGTATGATAAACACGCACTACGGCGTTGCTTAAACACACGATGAACACAATGTTCTCCTTTTCTATTCACTCATTCAACATTCAACATATTCATAATGAAGAGGTACATGGCTATTTATAGGAACATAAAATAAAACTAAGCCTAACCAAACTAGATCTCCTAATTTATTAATTAAAAGTAACAAGAAAACAAAATCCTACTACTACTAAATTAATTCTTGCTTGACTTGCACTCCAATCCAAATTCTTGAGCTCCAAGTCATGCACCCAAATCCTTAGTCGCCTAAAAAACCTTCAGCTGCCTCCCTTTGCGCGGCACCCGCGAGGCCTTGTCCTCGTCGGGCACAGCTCCTTGTGCGCCTGCGTTGCACGCGCGCGTTGTCGCGCACCCCAGCCTGCGCCGTCTTCATCTTGCGCGTGCGCCCCCT